CACATTAAGAAAAAAATGTTCATCAGTACCTTTCCTTGCCTTATATTATTTTCTCCAGCCTCTTGAACCCTATTAGTTTTTGGATGTATGAGGAAGTGGACCCCACCACTTGCCACCACGCCACTCAGTCACATGCTCATTTCTTTTGCCTGTATCTTACTATTGTGTCCAAGTTCTTGACTTACTCATAACAAACCAGCAACTATGTACTCACATTTACACCATGTACACAATCTGGGATGCCCTAACCACACCTTATGTTCTGGGTAGAAGTGTCTCCTCAGTATGATTTTTTAATCTCTGACATAGAAAAATATTTGTTTCTTACTTTCTGTTACACTGGTGGAATTGTCCTTCCATTTAATGAAGACCAGTTCCTCTGGATTCCACTTCATCTAGCCTTAAAGGACTTCTCACTTTGGTTATATCCTTCATCTCCTCTATCATCCAGTTCTTCTCCTGGATAAGTCTTGTTAACATATAAACCTGTTCTGCTGTCTCTCACATTAAATTAAAGAGGGAAAATGACATCGCCTTCCTTGACCCCACATCTCCCTTCAATTTTCTACTCTCCTTGACAGTAAAAATTCTCCTAAGAGTTGTTCTCCACTTTATTGTTTCTGATTTCTCACCTCCTCATTCACTCTTCAAACTATTGTGATCTGACTTTTGCTCCCATCACTCCCCTGAACTGTATTTCTTAAGATCACCAACAACCTGCGTGTCGCCAAATTCAATGGTACTTTTCTGTCTTCCTGTTACTTGACCTTCTGGTCTCTTAGCAGCATTCTCTCTGTTCTTGGTCTCTATACCTCAGTCTCTCCCTTTCCTCTTACCTCTGTGGCCATCAGTCTTTCCTCACATTTCTAAATATGAGAGTTCCTCTGGGCTCTCTCCTAAGCCTCTGTTTCTTCTCTTTCCATGTTCTAACTGATCTCCTCCATGTTTGGCCTTATATCCCATTTGCCTGCTAATGACCACCAAAATTAATATCTCTACCAGAGACCTTGAACCCATGACTCATACTTAATGGTATACTTGACATCTCCTTTTAAACTCAAGCATAATAAACATAACACGAAAACTAAAGTCATGATTTTTTTCCCCAGAACCAGTTATTTCCCCGGTGTTCCCTTCTTTGTAAATGATAATTCCATCCACCCAGTTATTTACGCATCTCTGTGTCACATCACCACAGATTTACCCAATATATTAAGTCCTACAGTTTCTACCTCAAACAGTTTATTCCACTGCCACTACCCTAGTCATCCTTTGTACAACTACAGTAGCCTTCTCACTGACTTCCCTGCCTCTTCTCCCAATCCATTTTCCACAGAGCAGACATAGCATACTTTTTGTATAACAAGTCAAATTATTTCTCTCCCAAGCTTAAAAACATTCAATGTCTTTCCCACTGCACTTAGAAGAAATTCTAAGCCTTTCACTATACCTGTAAGCACCTATATAATATGACTCCAAATTATTTCTCCAGCTATACATTTCTTTAGCCAACCTGGCCCTCTTTTCATTCTAGGGCCTTTGCACATTTTATTTCTTCGAAGAACACTGTTCCTGTTCACTTCTCATTTTGTCTAGTTGACACCTGCTCATCATTTAAATTATACTTTATTTACTTATTTATTTTTAATGAATCTTTTTTAAATTGAAGTATAGGTAATTTAATATATTATATTAGTTTCAGGTGTAAGATAGTGATTCAGTATATTTATAGATTATACTCCATTTAAATTTATTAGTGACTATGGGCTCTGTGATATACAATATATCCTTGTTTTATTTAGCTTATTTATTTTATACTTTGTAGTTTGTACCTGTTAATCTCAGACTTCTGTCTTGCCTCTCCCCCCTTCCTTCTCCCCATCGGTAACCACTATTTGTCCTCTATATCTGTGAGTCTGTTTCTGTTTTGTTATATTTATTTGTGTGTTTATTTTTTAGATTCAGCATATAAGTAATAACATACAGCATTTGTCTCTCTCTGTCTGGTTTATTTTCCTAAGCATAATACCCTCCAGTTCTACCCATGTTGTTGCAAATGTCAAAATTTCATTCTTTTTAATGGATGATTAATATTCAACTCCACATCTTTATCCATTCACCTGTTGATAGACACTTAGGTTGCTTCCATATCTTAGCTATCATAAATAATGCTGCTACGCTAAATGTCCATTGACAGATTAATGAATATATATTTTATATATATACATATATATAGTGTATAATCTTAAAATAATGAGACAAATAAACTTATTTACAAAACAAAAACAGACTCACAGACGTAGAAAACAAACTTATGTTTACATTGGGGGGCGGGGAAGGAAGGGGGATAAACTGGGAGTTTGTAGATACTGACTACTATATATAAAATAGATAAAACAATAAGGTCCTACTGTATAGCACAGGGAATTCTATTCAATACACTGTAATAGACTATAATGAAAAAGAATATGAAAAGGAATAGATATATGTATAACTGAATCACTATGCTGTGCACCAGAAATTAACACAACATTGTAAACCAACTATACTCCAACTAAAAAAGAAAGATAATGTGAAAAAAAGAATGCTGCTATGAATACTGGGGTGCATGTATCTTTTCAAATTAGTCTTTTTATTTTCTTTGGATATATGCCCATGAGTGGGATGGTAGTTTTATTTTTGGTTTTTTGAGGAACTTCTTTTTTGGGGTGGGGGTAATTAGGTTTTGTTTTTTTTTTAATTTACTTTTAGTGGAGGTACTGGGGATTAAAGCCAGGACCTCATGCATGCTAGGCAGGCACTCTACCACTGAGCTATACCCTCCTCCCAAGGAACTTCTATACTGTTTTCCAAAGTGGCTGCATTAATTTACATTCCCAGAGTCTACTAAGGTTCTTTTTTTCTCTACATCCTCACCAATATTTGTTATTTGTGGTCTTTTGATGATAACCATTCTGACAGGTGTGAGGTGATATCTCATTATGGTTTTGAGTTGCATTTCTCTGATGATCAGCAATACTGATCATCTTTGCACGTGCTTGACCCTCTTATGTGTTTCTTTAGGGAACACTTCCATGACATCCTAACTTAGTCAAATCCCAGCCCTTATAGTCATTCATAACACCATGTACCTCTTCTTGGTATTGTGTTAATCTTAAGATAAGTTGATTAATGTCTGTGTCTCCCCTACCATATTGTATACTCCATGAAGGCAGAGATAGTTCTATTTTTGTTTATTACTATATTCTCGATTCCTAACATAGTACCTGAAATATAGCAACTACTCAAGAAATATTTACAGAATGAATGTATGATTGATATAAGGTCATGCTACTAAGAAGACATCTGTCAGTCCCATGAAAATACATTAACCAAATCATTAAAAGGAAAGGTATAATCTAAAAGAATAACTACGTGGACTTGAGTGATAGTTATTGGCTTTGCTTGATTATGTATTATGAACTATGAAAATGTTCTACACATGTAATTGTTTCGTCTTGTTTTGTGGGGGGAGGTAATTAGGTTTATTTATTTATTTAATGGAGGTACTAGGCATGCACTCTACTACTGAGCTATACCCTCCCTCCTACACATGTGATTCTTATCTCCTAATTGTAACGTGTAAAATAAAACCAACCTTTCCTCCACCACTACCCCCCACCCCACCCTGCCAACAGTAATTTCGAAGTTCAGGAAATGTATGCAAAGGGAAGCCCAGAGCTGCATTTGTGGGTAAGGGTCAAGGTCAGAAAATTGTTCTGCAGGAAAAAAAGGTATGCTCCCACTGAGAGAGGACAGAAAAAAGAAGGGTGGGAAAAGGATAGGAGTTAAAGTGGGGCTTGGAGATTCTTTGTAAAGAGGAAAATGCCTAAAATTAAATTTCAAGTTGTTAATCTTGTGACAATGTAAGTCATTCCACCTTCCTAAACCAATAATTTCTGCTATATTAGCTCAAGACTAAGCTAAAAAAGGAAAGAGAGAGAGTTAAAAGAGCCAGTAAGTCACAAGGGCCATCTAGGAGGTTGGTCAGAGGTTTCTTTTTCCTAGAATATATCTGTTTATACTCATATGGCATTGATCTAACCTCACTTGGGCTATATACTTCACTGGAAAACATCTTACTTGTCTTTGAATGTATAGGAATAACCATACCCATCCCAAAATATGACAAGATGCTGCATAAAAGGTGTGCTTTGGTGCATTCTCTATGTGCTAGATGAATTCCTGACTCTCCCATCTTCCTTGTTCCCACCCTTCCTGCTCTAGTTACATCTCCATTTTGTGCCTTGGATTCAATATATATCTTCATTCTTCCTCATGCTATTTCCTCAGACATTCCCTTCAACCCTGCATAAATGGACCCAACCTGCATAGATGTTCCACTTATTTAATCTGGGCCTGGCCCACCAGCAGGACTGGGGCAAAGAGCATTTAACATAGTGCCCCAACCACAACCAATGCTTAAAAATGATTATTAGATTCAGTCAAAATTAAATATATCACTGATAGCAATTCCCTAGAGTACCTACTAATAAATTTATCTGTTAAGTTGTGCTTTAATGTACAAGTATTTTTAGCATTTCTCAATTTTTTAACCCAGCTCCACTGGACAGGATTTTGTCAAGCTTTACTTTCCATAAGAAGTCACAAGAATAAGTAGATAATATTTTGCCTTTTTAAAAATATTAAATGTTGCTATTCAATGCTGGAATATTTAATGTGCTTTTTAAAACACATTTAAATCATCCCTTCCAACCTGTTCTGGAGATTGTGATATCCCTCCCGAATCCCACCAACTTCTGCTGACTGTGAAAGGCCCAGAGAGATGAGAAGTTCTTCCACTGTTTGATGGAGAACCCCTGATTTACGATGGGAAATGTCACTGTGAAAAAATTTCTCTGTCCCTCTTAAGACCAGAATTAACAAGGAAGAATACAAATACATTAATTCATTCCATTTAATGAACAGTGTTATAAAAACTGCTAAATAATCTGACCTACCCATCTAGGAGGGCGATGACGTTCTTCCTGGGCCGCCCAATATTGGGGCCATACAAACTGGCTCTGGAGTAAATCCGGATGGGCTGCAACAGGCTCTTCAGCTGGATGTAATCCTTTCCCAACTGGCTGCCATTTACTGCCCGGCCATGCATGGTCCGATAGTTATTTGGCTCTAGATTAAAAGCAGATATGCAAGTCAGAGTTGAGAAGGGTGAGGTTCTGTCAACCCCTTTCTGTCCACAGATCTCTCTGCCTTTTTCTTAGCAATGTGAATAAAATAAACAAAAAGAGGATGCAAAGTAGCTTAACTTGAGAAACCATCCCAACAAAAAAAAGTCAAGTACCATTCTACCATTGTTTTTATTTTCAAACCAACTTTCACAAAAAAATCACCTAATCAGCAGTAGAGAGACCATACTGATTTTCAGGTCATACTTTATAATAAATATAAAGTACTGGGTTGAATAGTGTCCCCCAAAATTCATGTCAAGATGGAACTTCAGGAATGTGACCTTATTTGGAAACAGGGTCTTTGAAGATGTAATTATTTAAGATGAGGTCATATTGGACTTAGTGCTCTACATCCAATGACTGGTGTTTTTATAGAGAAAGAAGAGGGAGATTCAAGTACATAGACACACAGAGAGAAAGGCCATGTGTTGATGGAGGCAAAGATGGAAAAGATGCTTCTATGCCAAGGCTTCATGGTAGCTATTAGAAGCTAAAGAGAGGCATGGAATAGATTCTCTCTCAGAGCCTCCAGAAGAAATCAACCCTGGCAATGCTTTGATTTCAGACTTCCTGAACTATAAGGGAACAAATTTCTGTTGTTTTATACCATGAAGCTTGTGGTAATTTATCATGACAAGCCTATGAAATTAATACAAACATTAAGAAAGGAAAGCTTCCTAAAGATGGTCATTATACCAAAAAGTCAGAAAATCAATGAAAGCAAAAATTGGTTCTTTGAAAATATCAACAAAATTGACATAACCTTTGGCTAGACTGACCAAGATAAAAAGAGAGAAGTCACAGATTACCAAAATTAGGAATGAAAGAGGAAACACCACTAAGAACTTCACAATGATTAAAAGGATAAGGGACTACTATGAATATCTTTATGCCAATACTTTACACAATTTAGGTGAAATGAAAAAAATTTTCAATAAAGACACAAATTACTAAAACCAACTCAAAAAAAAATAGAAAATCTGACGAGGCCTATCATAACAAAAACACTTAATGAGTCATTAAAATTGTTTCAACAAAGAAAGCCCAGACTCATATGGATTAACTGATGGATTCTATCAAGTATTTAAGGAAGAAATAATACATGATTTTTCACAAAATCTTCCAGAAAATGAAGGAAGAGTGAACAATTCCCAACTTATTTTATAAAGCCAATATTTCCCTGATACAAAGTCAAAGACATCACAAGAAAACTACAGATAAATACCCCTCATAAAAATAGATTTAAAAATATCCAACAAAATACAAATTGAATCCAGCAATATGTAAAAATTATTATAATATGATGACCAAGTGGGATTTATACCAGGAATGCAAGGCTGATTTAATATCAAAAGCCAACTAATGCAAAATACCATACTAACAGATTAAAAGACCAAAACCACATTATCACCTCAATAGATGAAAAAAAACAAAAAACAGACTCTTTGACAAAAATTCAACACTCACTCCTGATACATACTCAACAAACTATGAGTAGAAGGGAAATTCCTCAATCTGATAAATAGTATCTGAGGAAAACCTACATACTTACTGGTGAAAGAATGAACGCTTAAGGGTAAAGCATACTTAATTGAAATACAAAATGTTTCTCCCCTAAGATTAGGAACAAGGCAAAGATGTGTGCTCTCACCCTTATATTTAACATTTGCATTAGAGGTTCTAACTTGTGCAATCAGGCAAGGAAAAGAAACAAAAGGCATCTGAATTGGAAGGGGAAAAAAGTAAAATTGTCTTTATTCTCAGGCAATATATTCTGTACACAGAAAATCCTAAAGAATTCACACATATAGGGAAAAATATATAAGATCTAAAAGTCAAATTCAGCAAGATAAAAGATCAATATATAAAATCAATTATATTTCTAAATACTAGCAATGCACAATACAAAAATGAAATTAAGAAAATAATTCCATTCACAATTATATCAAAAAGAATAAAATACTTAAAGTTAACAAAATAAGTGTTAAACTTGTACACTGAAAACTGTAGAACATTGCTGAGAGAAATTAAAAATTAAGTAAATGGGGACATAATCTATGTTCATGGATAGGAAGATGCAGTATTATTGGGATGGCAATTCTCCCTAACTGTTCTATAGAGTCATGCTCTCTATTAAAATTCCATCAGGCTTTACTGAGGAAATTAATAAGCTGACCCTAAAGCTTACATGGAAATGCAAACACCTAGAATAGCCAAAATAATTTTGAAAAGAAGAACAGAGTTGAAGGACTTACACTTCCCAATTTTCATTATAAAACTATTGTGAGCAAGACACTGTAGTCCTAGTACAGTAGTCCAAGGACAGACATTCAGAACAGTGGAAGAGAATTGAGCCCACAAATAAACCTATTTATGGTCGACTGATTTTTGACAAAAGTGTCAAAAGAATTCAGTAGGGAAAAGATGGGCTTTTAAATAAACAGTGCTAGGACAACTTGATAGCCACATGCAATAAGATGAATTTAGATTCTTGCTTCATGTCATACTCAAAAATTAACTCCTAATGGATCTTATCCCAAATGTAAGAGCAAAAACTATAAAGCTTTTAGAATAAAATATAGGAAAAACACTTCACGATCTTGGGTTAGGCAAAGATGTGATACCCAAAGCACAATACACAAAATAAAACATTGATAAATTGAACTTTATCAAAATTCAAAACCTCTACATCTCAAAAGATGCCATAAAGAAAACGATAAAATAAGCTATACACTGGGAGAAAATATTTGCAAATCATATGTTTGGTAAAGATCCTGCATCCAGAATATATTTAAAACTCTTACTACTGAATAATATGGTAACCGAATTAAAAGGACAAAAGATTTGAGGAAACATTTCACCAAAGAAGATGTAATGGCTGATAAGCACATGAAAAGATGCTCAATATCACTTGTCATTAGGGAAGTGCTAATTAAAACCATATTAAGAAACTACTTCAAATCCAATAAAATGGCTGTAATCAAAAAGATAGACATTAACAAGTATTTCCAAAGATGCAGAAAAACTGTAATCTTCATACATTGCAGGGGAAAATATTAAATGGTAAAGTGACTTCGGAAAATAGTTTGGTAGTTTGTTAAAAAAAAAAACATGAATTTATCTTACAAACTAGCAACTCCACTCCCCTCCCAGGTATCTTCCTAAGAGAAATGAAAGCATATATCTACACAAAGACTTGATGTGAATATTTATAGCAGCATTATTTATCATAGTCAAAAAAGTAGAAACCATCCAAATTGTTTCTGTCATCTGGTGAATGGAAAAGCAAAATGTGGTATACACACACACACACACACACACACACGTATCATACATTGGAATACTATTCAGCAATCAAAAGGAATTTACTTTTACATGCTACAACATGGATACACCTCAAAAAGATGCTAAATGAAAGAAGTTAGATGCAAAAGACAACATATTGTGTGATTCCAGTTATATGAAATATCCATAAAAGATGAATCCATAAAGACAAAAAGCAGATTAATGTTCCCTGGGACTGGGAATGGTTACAGAGACCGACTGAAAACTAGCATGACGGATCTTTCTGGAGTTATGGAAATGTTCTAAAATTGAACTGTGGAGGTGGTTGTACAAGTCTATAAATTTACTAAAAAGCACAACGGTATGTGTAGGTGGAAGTCTGTGCAGAAAGAATAGAGATAAAGGTGATGAAGGTGAGAAGCAGGCAAGGAAAAGGAAAGGAGAAAAGTAACCAGGTAAAGAAATTCTGTATGTTTTCTCATCTTCCCTTCTCCTCCTCTTTTCCCCTCTTCTTCCTTAATCGTCAAACTCTATCCTATGAAAATATGGTTCTCTAAAGCTCTTGGCTATGATCTAGCCACATAAACAATTGTCAATGTGTTTGAAGAGGGTTGCTCAGTCCTGTGTTTGGCCTTCACAAGGCTAGAACTGTTATATATACAAAATATACACAATGAAAATGTATAAATGGCTATACATAAATACATCATGCATTTATCCACAAAACAGACTAAAAACTTAATAAATATTGAGTTAATGAATGAATAAATAAAGCTGGGCTGCCAGAATTATCATCGCTAAGGGACTAAATTATGTAATTGTCAGAAATTTGATTTTATGAAATTTCTCAGTAGATATCAGGTTCCAGGGAACTGATTCATATAACTAATATCATAAAGAGTAATTGGTGAAAGTATGGGTCTAGTGTAGGTATGAATGTATGACACTGATTCAGTAATTAATTACAACCGCTTTTATTTGTTCACAGAACTGAGCAGATCTATTTGGGGAGCTATTCTTAATGTAGTGTTCAATTAGAGATGCTGCATTAACTTCAGAAAATTTCTGTTAAGGATAGCCATCTAAAGAATAAACACCATCTCCTTGGAACAGAATTGGACTAGAGTCAATTTACATTTCCAAGATTTGACTCCCATCTTCAAAATTCTCCCAGTTATTCCTTACTTTAGATTCACCAATCACTAATAGAATGCAAATAATTACAATCATCATCTAGCATTAATCAAATATAGTTTATAATTTATGACATTTAAGGAAACATTTTATATCTACAGAACATAGTTGTTAAAAATCTTGTATCAAGAAAGTCATTCTTTCATGAACTTTGACATCCTAAATTTTCTGAATCTTCACCTCTTGCACTGGATATACCTTGCTTTTGTACTCTGTAGCCCACATTATTCACTGATTTCAAAGGAGGAAAATAAGTAAGTTAGTCACTTGAAGTTTAGCCACCCTAGGAGAAACAATCAAAGAAATGTCTATTTTAGTTTTTCCAATGCTAGATTTGCTCTAGAGATAAAGTACTTATTAACAGGATGTTGGTACATGAGAGGATGAGTGATGAGAGGATGAGTGATAAGAGAACTGACTCCCTAAATCTGGATAATGATCAAACTATTACATCTGTCCAAAAAGATAAGGCTTCAAAGAAGAAAATGGATAAAAGATTAGAGAGACACATCCAGGCCAGGAGGATGACCAGATAATTTTTGAGGGGGAAGGGCCTGAATACCCAATACAGAATGGTTGTGAACAGAATACACCAGATATTTTAGGCGATATGATGCTAGGATGAGAAAAACTATCAGTAGTTGTAAAATGAATTAGAAGCAGCAGCAAAATAAATCTTCTTCAAACCCTAAATGATGTGTTGAGTTGGGTAGACTATTAAGTCATATCAAAAAACAGAAATGCAGTTTTTAAAATAAGAGGAAGCGGGGAGGGAACAGATCAACTCTAATCTTCTTGACTACAGACTCAAAAATCATCTACCTCTACCTAGATAGAAGTGCTCACAAGAACATTCCAGATACTTTTCATTTTAATGAATTTTTAAATTCATAGATTTGGTTATTTCCCTATAGATTCTTATCTATATCCCTACCTATTTTCTTATCTTTGACCTTTTCACCTCCTCAAAAATGATTCTTTGTTTTTGTTAAGCCCTGAAGAGACACTTAAAAAGATGAGAATCAAGTGCTATGTGGCTACGGTAACTAAACAACATTTAAAAATGTAATTAATTCCATCTCTAAACTGTTTAGCATAATTTGGGGGAAGAATAGAAAGTGGCAAACTCTCAGTTATTTGGAACAGACAGATGTAAACAGAAAGAAACAGAAACTCTATCCACCCACCCCCACCAACAAATCATTTCCATTATACCAATTAAAGATTTACCTAGTTGAATAAGCTCCCAAATTCAGAGATGACAAAAACCCTGGAGGAAGTATTCACATTAACCACTTATAAGAAAGTTTTAATTGCTTTGAGCTTATCTACAATCAGCAGAGTGTTTTGTTTGTTTGTTTGTTTTCCAAATGAGTTTTATTTAGAAACATTTTAGGCAGAGCATATATTCTCCAGCTCACCAGAGGCTCTACCACTCACCTGTTCTCAACATAATACCTAATTGGTCCCTCATGACAGGCATAATGCCATTTGGGGAATGCATTGTTTGAAGAATATTTTGCTATGTTTGGGGAAGAGAGCTAAGCTGGGTGGAGTCTGATATTGTAGCAGAGTAAGGTTACATGAGGTGGCTATGGGTAGACAACATAAAATACCAAAGAATGTCAAGAAGCATGAAATAGAAACTGGGAGAGGGAGGGATCAGTAAAGGGCTTTGCCTACTACACAATAATTTTGCCTAGTTCCAAGCTGATTACACCACTCTTGCTTTTGTTCTAGAAGGTATGATACCTAGGCTGGTTGGGAAGATGAAAATCTTAGGCTACCATACTTATGCCCACTATAGCCAAATTATCTTCTGTTTACTTTAGGTCTCCATTTGGTCCCTAACTTTCCCCCAATTTCCCCTACTCTAGGAAAAGAAAAGAGAGCTACATTCTGGTTAATGGCTATTGATAGAAAAAAGAACACTTGTTCTTATAAAATCCTCATTCCTTGCTACCTTATGAGAACTTCAAATTCTAAACTGCATAAATACATACACACATACACTTCAATGATTAAACAGGACTGGATACATAATTTGCAGGACCTCATGCAAAATGAATATCTGGGTTCCCTTATTAAAAAATTAAGATGGTGATAGCCAAGCATCAAGCCAAGTATGAGTCTCTTCTAAGCATGGATCCTATGTGACTGACTTCACAGACTGCACACCCCTGGAACCAACCCTGGTTAAATGATTTAAGAAATACTGTGTTAAAAAATGTTATACAGATTTCATTGCAGCAGAAATTCTCAGAGCCTTTTATATGCTAATGTGCATTGTGAACCTTCAAGAGGCACATGCAGACCAGTCCCCAAATACACTTGACCAAATTCTTCTGAATTATTATAAAGGTAATTTTGTAGGACCACTGTTCCATAGAACATACATTGTAAAATGCAGCTCAGGCTATGAAGATAGGTTGTATCTGGTTTAACATCAATTTGTTAATCATAATCAATTTGGCATTTCCTCTATATTTGGAATGAAGTAACTAGAGATAACTACAGATCAAATGATGTGGATTGATTAAATCTATTGTTCAACTATTTGGTCTTTGACTATTTGGAAGGTAAACTCAGAAGTCAAACAATCCAGACGTTTTCTGGGCCACTGTATTAGAGATGTCTGAGACTATCTCCTAGGCCAACTTATTTTTCACCCTTTATCTTGTCAGTTCAGAAGAAATAGCATCTTTACTTACCATTACCTAGTTCCCAAGAAATGTTGTACTTTTTGCTGGCACTGTACTTCAGCAGACTCAGGGCACTAGAACTGTTCCAGGAGTTATTGGGATTGCGACGTAGTGCATTTAGAGCAAATATCAGGTGGAGTCCAGAGCAATCAGCAAAGTTATAAAGTTTGTCTAGAGACCTGGCTGGGAAGAAGTAGAGAAAGGCTTGTAACTTTCAAATCAACATCCCCAAAAAGGAAAATATTAGCTACTATAAAAAACATTTCTATGAGCTTCCTGCTAATAGGAATTGAACAGAGAGGCTTCCAAAAGGACTATTACCTTTTGGTTCAGAGTATATTTCAAGGTGATTTCAGAAAGCAGCACACACAATTTGAGATAAAGGTTGCAAACTGGTAACTAAGTCTAGTCCACAGAATATTTTGTTAACAACAACAAAAAAAACTGAAATGCTAACATTGAAAACTGAGAAGATATTACAAAAGTAGCTAGATTTCTAGCTTTTCTTGAAAAATCACACAATCTGGCACTGTTGGATCTGTATTTATGAAATGATAGGAATAGTGTCAGGAGATAAGGCCAGGAAAGATGACTGGCTGGGGAGTCTTAGAAAATAGCTCAGTCTAACAGCACTCCCCAAAAAATTTCACTCAATTCCACACTTCTAATATTTCTGAGAATGGAAATACCATAACCAATGGTAGAAATATGTTCATTGTTAGGCTGATCCCAGGTACCATGAATGCTGTTCACCATGTTCCATTCTACTCCTTCACGTCTATTTGCCACCATTCTGGCTCTGGCTCTCATCTCCACTTGCATAAATTATCACAACAATGTAATTGCCTCTCTATTTCTAGATTCTTCCCATCCTGCCAGATTCATCTTTCCCCAATTACTTTCATCAGTTTCATTTACCCCTCAAAACCTTAGTGGATTTTCAAGACCTTTACTTTCTTTATTTCAAGGCCTCTTCAACTCAACTATAATTTTTCAGCCTATTCTATTATTGTCAATGAATTCTTTGTAGGTGTATCCAGTTCTATTTGTTACAGAATCCCCTGCCCCACTGGCCTTTGCTCTAATTATCCTCATTTGTCTTGACTTTTTCTTCTCTTTTAAACATAACCAGATCTTACTTGTTTTTTTTTAGACAGTGTTTCCCAAAGTACAGATGACATGACTTTAAGTGGTACACATATTGAAAAAAGTTTTAGGTTAATAATTATGTATAGGGGTTCACATTATCCTAGTATTCATTATCCAAGTTCGTAGAGCAGGATTTCTCAAAGGGAATATGGAACACCAGGTGGGGTTCCACAAGATGTCATTAGGGGGTTCTGCAAAAGATGATCCAAAGTGACAAAGGTACCCCATCAGTAGTAGGTCTTTTAGAACTATAAGGTAGGACTGTAATCATTTAATTGAATCCATTATCAGTTTTTGAAGTGGGATATAGGGTTTCTGCCATTTTCATCTTTGTATGTGCATAAGGAAGTGCTTTTTAAGCAGCATCAAGAAAAAGGACAGAAATCGTCTCATTTCAGTTGAAAAGAAAATCCATAGGAACTTATCTCATATTGAACCCAGAATCAAGTAACTAAGCAACAGAAAGAAAAGGCATAGGTTTCACATTAAAGAAATAAACTTATTTATTTTAGTTTCAAAATAGTAATTAAAATTAAAATGCATTTATAGGCCAATTAAAGTGATCATGAAACCAACACATGTGTATATTAATTTTATAATTATCTACCTAAGCCTGACTATGCCACTCAGTAAGAAAATGGTTTTTTATAAACTCTTATAGAAAATGTCTTAGGCTACAATTTTATTCATATTGCTTTGGCATATAATTTTAGTAAGCTTACTATTCAACACTGTTCATTTATTTTCATGTTGAAAACAACACTAAATTCATAAACTTTTAAAAAATAAACCTGACAAGCCTATCTTTAGAAGAATTATATCCCATTTTGGCTTAAACCAGTTACTTTAAAAAACATATATTTGCCTTGTAAGTTTCAAATTCATGAAAAGAAAAAGAAAAGGATTAATCTCAAGAAAGAAAGTTAACTACATTTTTCCCCCCTTTTCTAGAAAGGCTGTCTAAAAAGTCATTTTTAGTTTTAAATAGGAGGGAAAAAAATCTGTTGCAACTCACCATGTACTACATACCATACCTCAATAGCATTTATATGATAAAACTTTGTGATAATGCTTTTAGACCTACTTGGGTAAGGTACAAAGAAAATCTAGTAGGAAATTTTTCACAGGAAAAAGCAAAGTTTCTTCTATCTATACCACTGATCTATATTGAAGTTGGTATCCTTTGTGGGGAGGGGGAACCTACAAAAGAATAGGCTAAGATGTTGTCCAAACTAAACAGATTCTTAGGAAAATATCACGCTATTTGAAAGACATTGGATTATAATACTTACAACTAAATGATCACACTAACATACTATGAGCTTTAGATGTAAATTTTATCTAGAAGTTCCGAGATTTGAGAATATTTCAAATCTTTCTCTGATATAAAAAGTTTGAGAGGGCTGTCCTAGAGTTAAAGGATGCTTAGGAAAATAAAAGTAATCTTTACACCAAAATATTCACTGTTGAACCGACACTGACATAAAAATTCCTTTCTCTTGTCAATATCCTCACTAATGAATTCAATGATTCAATTTCTCCAATATAATGCAAACCCAGTATAAATCTTTTGGAAAGCTATGTGGCAAATCTGAGCAAAAGAGGCAGGGTTTAATGAGATCAATGAAAATAATGTATGATAATTGCTCAAATCACATGCAAATCCACTAACAAATAAGAATCTAGAATAATTAGATCAGTTACCTGAACAAAAGAAAACTCACAAGGGTGATAACAAAATAGGTTGCTCAGAAAATAGTTTGAATATTAAAAGATCAAATGAGGTCTATTTTGATGTCTTTAATATTTATGATTGTGCTATAAAAGTTAAATTAATTTATCAGAAAAATACTCAGTATCCAATTAAATATCATTCTGTTCAGTTTGTTCATAATTGCAGTAACAGTTTATAATTTGTTAAGTTTATAATGAAATATACTTACTTTCATAATTTTTAATTTTACTTATGAATCAAAACCCTAATCAAACTTTTGCATCAAAACTTCATACAAATGATATTCTCTTTAGGTAGATTGAGCCCCTTTAAAGTGGCCTTTTTCTAGATCTGATTATCTTCATATAGTGAGGATATCCTGTGTTTGCTTCATGTATATTGGAAAAACAAATATATATCAAACACAAAAGCAATCAAATCTGTGATTTCATGGATTTAATGGTTTAAGACAAGGCAAAAGGTATTTACAAAAGAAATGTCAGTATAATGAAAATGTGGAGAAATAACAATATAGATGGTTTCTTAACACAGCAGAAATTGAGAACTAGAGTGCTAGAAGTTTGAGAAATACTTTGTTAAGGATAAGTTTAAGAACTGCCTTCTCTGTGAAACCATTCTTCTGTAAATACACCAATTTCCCTACAGTGACCTCAAATTAACCTTCTTTAAACTCAACGTCTCTATCATTTGTTGGCATCTGAGTGCCTTGTGACATCTCCTGTGACATTGCCTTACCTTGGGATTTACCTCTTGATTTAGTCACTTGTCCAGAGTGAATGGTTTACTTCCCCAGTTAAACTGTCAACTTCCTTAAGGCAGGTACTGTATCTCATTATGTCTTTCAGAGCATCTATCAAGAACAATTTCCTGCCTCAAAATCATGCTGAGGAGTTCTCACAGCCCAAATTCTGTTTGTTGTATTAAAATGGTCTAGTAAGAAACTGAAAGGTCCTAATGAGAGATCTGTGTAATAGCTATTATTGCTAGTTCAAGAAATGTACTCAGAGTCTACTGAAAATTATGTATATTTGAATACAGAACATTTAGTAGATGCTCAACAAATGTAATCTTCCTCAGAATATCTGTAGTCAGGTGCCATCCAAGCAGATATTAAAAAACAACTTTCTACTCTCTCCACCAGAGGGTGCCAATGCCTCTATATCCTCTATTCAGGTTGCCTTGGCATCTCAGAAATATAATGCTAAGGAGCCTTGCCTAGCAGGCCGTTGAAAACGAGGAGCTGGTCCTGAGAGAGATGGAAGAAATAGGTTTTGAAGTCATCTATAAAGTGCTGATAGTAGATGCCATGAAAGTTCTTGAGAGTTCTAAAGGACAAAATGAGGACAAAATCTTCAGAAATGTCCACATATAAAGATTGGGAAGGAGGGAAAAAAGGACAGAGAAGAAGGAGGAGAGTCAGAAATGTATTCTTAAGGAACCCAAAATAAGACAGTTTCAAGGAGGTACTAGGCAATGCCAGTAGGTGTTGGTGAGAAATTGAGGAGAAAGGGAGAAAGAAGAAGAAAAGTATTATGGTTAATCAGAAAAATGAGGTTAGAGACTAGATTTAGGTTGAGGTGTGAACTTAAAGAATGAGTGGTAAAGAAAAAAATAATAGAATTTGGTACATTGAACTAACTTCTTGAAGTTCTGTGACAACAAAAGGAAGACAGAAACAAAAGAGAAACTAGAGTAGTACCAGAGTTAGGTTAAAATAAAAAAAAAAAAAAAAGCAAGATCCAAGACCATGATCTGTCAAAAGTCATTTCTTCAACAAGGCTAATCTCAGCTTTATATTTCAAAAGGAGAAGATCAATGAATTCACTCTAAGATACAAATGATAGTCATTTTCTTTAGTTTCCTCAGGACATGGCACTTTAAAAACAAAATAGATAAACAATCCAACATACAAAAAATAGGCCTCCTGTTAATCTAAGCAACTAGGTGGCTAGAATTTTGAGTAGGATTCATTCACTTATTCAACAAATATTTATTGAGTACCCACTGTATGCCAGACAACATCATAGTCTCTAGGGTTAAAGCCATGAACAAATCAGAAAACAGGTCCTTGCCCCATGAAGTTTACTTTTAATGTAGCTGCAGTGGGGGTCAGTGGGGTCCCTAAAACAGGGTAGGGGATAGTAGAACCAATGAAGGTGGTATGGTATTTTAAATAAGGCTCACTGATAATGTAACATTTGAACAGAGACCCCAGTGGAAGTTAGGAAGCAAGTCAGAGGGTTATCTATGGAAAGAATTCCAGGCAGAGGGTATAGTAAAGGCAAAGGCCTGAGACAGG